CACTCGCGCCGCCCGACAGCGCCACCGCACCGCGCGGCCTGCGACCGCTCAGCGGCGACCACCCGGACGCCTCGGGGGCCGTCACTGGCTACAGAGATGAGGCGAATTCCAGCACTGAATGGAGGAGAATCTAGCGGACGGCTCTTCTTATCGCCTTTATGCGGTTTCTACTATCAATTCCAGATGAATCCAGGAGCAGTACCCTAACAGAAAGGCCACAGACGGCGTGCGATTTTTCCTCTCTCATCGTTGCGCTCTCCTCTTGCTTTACACATACGTGCATTGGAACGTAAATGCACTACACTATCGCATACATTGGTAACTGAGAACTTCTCCTGTCAGAGACGAGGTGGGGGAGATACTTAGAGATACGAAAACCCTTCAATTCGACGTGTAGATTGACGCCGTAGGCCATGACTCAGCGGAAGAGAAACACCGTCACCATACGGCATGTAATTTGCACTCCACTTTTGCGAGTCTAAATACCTAATTAGATATTGTAACTTACGAAATTACCTAACTACGACACAAAATTAAAATCCATTCATTCACTCTTTCTCGACCCCACACTTAAATTCGTTTACATTAAATTCACGTTTCGTTTGCTTAATCCCCGTTTCGAGCGGCTTTCCAACCACTTGTGACATCCTGTCGCAACGCGACGTCGGTTCGAAATGATTCTTCTCAAATCTTTTGTATTCAACACAAACTGGCGGATAAACATAACAAATTCTTCGCATTTCCTGGATTTTTCGATGAGTCATTCACCTCGTTTCACGATGCTTACCAGAGTGGATACAAATATCTTATTAAGGGAAAGCGGGGCAAGCCTGGCGCAGCAATTACATCATTCAAACTCTGACCTCAATTTTGAAATACTCCCCAAAAGAATATATATATATATATATATATATATATATATATATGTGTGTGTGTGTGTGTGTGTGTGTGTGTGTGCGTGCGTGTGTGTGTGCGTGTGTGCGTGTGTGTGTGTGTGTGTGTGTGGCTTTCTTTTGATGTGTTTACAGTTCCAATGCACAAAACTGGACTACCAGAGGAAAAATCTGATATTGGCTAGTAACTATTCATTTCTTAATGCCTAATGTAAAACGTTGGGTATATCATACATTGACATACATTTATACTGAAATAACTTGACTTAAATGAAATCATCGTAAAAATGGACTATCAACGTAAAAAAGTGGACAACAACTAAGATATTCTGACACTTTTACTTAGAGTATGAACTAACCAAATTAAATCATTTATGAAGATTCGTTTTTGAAAAAAATGAATCAATTGCTTTTTTTGTTTCAATTTAATTGTAATCGATTAATTGGAACCAAAATTGTATTCAATTAATCGACTTTTTGCTTTCTACAGATCGATTAAAAGTTTTTTTATTAATTGTTGATATAATAAAGTACTATCATTCTCTGTAGATACAGGACATATTTTTATCATCTTGAATAATGTATTATTATAAATTAATTCATTTCATCTGAAAAATTTTAATTAGGTTTTAATACAAGTAGATCAATTTTGATCTGAATAATTCAATTTTTTCTACGAATAATATTTAAAATAAAAATATTACTTTTGTATTCAGGCCAAAAATCAAAAGTCCAAAGGAAATCAATTACTAACATTTCTCAACTGCGTCAGCCATTAATAGATAAAAAATATCAATAATTGTTCCCAAGCTAACAATTCTCATTGGGCACATTTTCCTATGAGTTTTGAAACCGAATGGGCCCCCTATTTTTGTAAATAGTACAATTTAGCATGTATACTGCATTATCAAACGAGACCTTCCGAAAAAGAATCTTTCCCCGCACAGGCGATTGGACTATTTCCCGATCTATCTTATTTGATAAAATTAATTAGCGCATAATTAGCAAAACGTATTTGAACAAGTACGCAATTCTTCTCATTTACCTAAGTCTCGCTGATAAGCGATTTAGCTTCTTGCTCTCCAAGCTTGCAACATGCAGAAAATAGAAGGACGGAGCGGCGCGCGGCGTGGCCTATGCGCATTCAAAACACCCAACCGCACCGCGAATCTGCGCCCGGTCGCGCCACCGCCGCCGCAGTTTTTCCCTCCAGCGGCAGCGGCTGTTTGCGTTAGCCCCGGTTTTTGCAATGGTATTGCAATGTCGGGGGAGAAATTGGGTTCATTCATCACTCATTGTCTCGACGCAGCCGATTGGCACCAATTGCTGGGCGTAATTTATAAGACCTGAAAGGCGCGGGGAAGATTGCGATATCCGGTCGGGAGAGGCAGAAACGGGATTAAAGGGAGAGAGCAGCTGCCGGAGCGGCCTGGCTGCCGCCGCCCCCCCGCCCGCCGCTCCGCCCGCCCGCTCCCGGTCCTTCGAATGCGCCAGGAGGCCATCGGAAAACCGGCCGTGCGAGCAAGCGCGCGGAAGATGTACTCTCGTAAGCTTTCGCTCAGGTTCTCTCCGTGCCACCGCCCTCTCCGCTCCGCTCCCGCTGCCTGCCGCGCTCCCGCCCGCCTGCAGCCCTCCCGCTCCGTCCGCTGCGCGCACTCCCCGCCAACTTTCCTGCTCACTTATACCGCCCCGCCACCTCATGCAGCAGCTCCCCGTTCTTGGCCCTTCCTCCCCTCCCGCTCCACCCCAACCCTACCCGTCGCCGGAGACATGGGCTTAACTGCTCACTCGGAAAATGAAACTACAGGAAAGTCGCTATTTCTCGATATTCGATTTTCTAGACTGGAATTCATACGAGCACGTAATAATATAGGCGTAATAAAACGTAATAATCATATTTTATGGTACGTTACGTTTCTGAGAATCTTTGAATATTCTCCGAGTTAGTTGAAAGATTGCTTCTGAAAATACTAAAACGAGAATTTTTGTGATTATGCCTACTTGCCTCGTATCTTTAAAACCAAACCATACTCGCATTTGTTTTAGATTTAAGGTTAATTTATAACTGATATATAATGGAAAAAGCTTTTTTATTGTTTGTAAGATTAAATTTTAATGGTTTCAGCATTCTTTTATGGGAGGAACTACATTAAATCTCATTTAAAGATAGCAAACACACAGATCAGAATTGTACCAAGAAAAATTTAATCATATATATACAGCGTATTGAGTTCATTGTATCTTGCAATATACAAGATGGGAACATCCGATTGCCGCAAATCGTAGTTTTCTGCAGTGACTTATTATTTATATTTGTGCATTTAGCCGTTTACATCCACCGCATTGTGTAACCCTACAACTAGTTTGACTGACGAGTTAGAATTTTCTAGGTTGTTTTCTCTTGAATATATCTTTCCATTTAACGGTGTTTCACATCTTAGAAATTGTAGATAAAGATACTAATACCAACATAAAAAGACAGTTTTTGACAAAATATATGGCTACCATACAATGTCTTCAAAAGTCTTCTGCTCATTCTTTTGCAATGCATTTTGTAATATTACAATGTGATACATTACAACAAAATCAATTGTATTAGTATTGATTACTTTTCGCAAATACGCTGTTTCAGAAATGTATTCAAATGCCCAAATTCCATAGCAGTTGCGATGTAAGTTTAATAAAAAGCTTGCACTCGTACGACTCACTTGTTAATAACGGCGATTAACTTGTTACTTGTACTCTGGAGGAAGTGAAATAAGGGTTTCTTACATCTACAACAGATTCATAAACAATGCCATCTTTGGAAGAGTTTTTCGCCCCAAAGCAGTCATTCAGTTCCAAGAAGGAAGCTCACACAAGAAAAACATTCAATACCTCAGCGGTGATAATAGGCATAACATGACTTATTAAACACTGTATTAATAAATAAAATCTTGAGCGCAGATATCTCTTTTCGGTACAATTCAACTATTTTTAGTTCGATATTTTATGTAACAAATCAATGAATATGTATTATTAATTAAATAGCTCACCAGCAACAGCACGCTTCAAGCATTCCAAGGGGCTCAATTGAACAGTAGTTACCTGCAACACACAACAATTAATACTGTTAGCAATGTGTTTATGGTAATTTAAGTTAATTATATTTAAAAGTATTTGAGAAATAAGAATATACATACTAAAAAATAGACATATTCAAAAAGCAATTGTTCAGTAACAACAACAACAACAACAACAACAACAACAACAACAATAATAATAATAATAATAATAATAATAATAATAATAATAATAATAATAATAATAATAATAATAATAATAGCGATAATGATGTCTGGTATTTCAGTTTTAAAATGGAATATTCTTGAAAAATACACTACTAATATGCGTGGTGTGTTTACTTAAGCTGGCAATAAAATATAAATATGGAGTATTTCGATCTACTACTGAGAACTTTCAAAAATTAATTTTCATTTATAACGAACATAGTAAGTGTACTATAATTTAAGCGCAGTTTTAGATTTTAGTTCAATAAATTTTCGTTTTCAAGAGAGATATAGATGCACAAATACATTCTGTATTATTTATATCTTTTATGTTGTAGATGTTTTGGAAAATAGTTGAAAAGGAAATAGAAATAAGAGGGAAATATAGGCAAAAATGTTGGTTCCAATTTGTTATTGCAACTAATCGTCTTTAATGGTTCTTAAAATACCAATAACTTTCATCTGAAGGCGTTGTCAAAATGTGTCAGTGATTGTGGGAATAGTTTTGGCATTGCCAACGCCGCTGTGGTGACGTCAGTAGCATTGCCATTGTTGGGGAAAGTTATGGCGATGGTACTTGGGATGGGAATGTATCGCTCCTGACACGTGACAGTTCGGATGACGTTCGGGGAACAGAAGGCGCGGGTAGCCCGTTATCGCCATCGCTGGCGGAGCAGCAAGGAGAGGTGGCAGCGAGCGCTAATAGTAATGGTAGTTGGCGGGGCGTGGCGGTGGCGGGGCGGACGGCGGTGGCAACGTGGGCAAGTAGGGTCGGGGGAGGGGGCGCTCCTCCCTGCCACGTCGTCTCTCCCTTCCGCGCCCTCCGCCGCTCCAATTACTGCAAACAAATGAGCGCGTGAAGGTCGAGTGCGCGAGATGGAGAATTACTCAGGCGCAACGAGAGGCCGCCGCCAGCGCCAGCGCCAGCGCCGTCGCTGTCGCCGTCGCCGTCGCCGTCGCGCGGGTCGTCGCCCGCTGTACGCGGCCGTGGCGCGCCACGCCACGCCCTCCCGCGGAACGCACTTGAACCCCGAGATACAGAGAACAGGCAACCTGACCGGCCGGCCTTTTAGTATTTCTTAGAAATCTATTGTTGCTCTCCACTTTTGTTCCAATTTACTTTCTAAGAGGCGTAATTCTCGCTTCAAAACACTGGCGTTGACGGACACTTACAAAGTCCTATAAACAATTTTTCATATCATCCATCATTTCACCAAAATATTCTGAACAATTTGTAATTACGTTAAATAGTTCTTGTGTTGTTAGCTTCTTGATATTTTCATCTGATTTTGCAAAATAAAATGTTTCTTTGTGCAATTTCTTAATCAATTCGTGCCACCGTCCTTACAATAAAAATGTATAACAAATGTCAATGGATTTATGTGGATTATCTGTCTCGTGTTCCAAATAGCTATTAAAATAGTCTACCAATAGGTACAAATGTTTTGACTCGACGCCCGGCAGTTGAACTAAAATGCTATTATTTGGTTAAAATACTTGAAATTCACTTTCTTTACGCGTAAATATGAAATATTAAAAAACAGAAGAAATTAGCGATAAATCAGAAAAACTATCTTATAAAAGTAGTACATACATTTTTACTTCAATATCCATTATGAATGTAACAGTTCGCAAACCGCAAAAACCGAACCGACACGTATTTTGATACCACTCGGAGAGACGCGCTCTGAACGTACTACACTAGAAGCAAGCAGACCGATGCCGACAGCCGTTAGCCCTTCCCAAGGGGAAAAATAATGCACAAAGTGCTGCACAAAAACTTTTTATTTCATGCTGGGCAGGCTAAAGATTTCCTTTGTTCAAATTTTGTTTTTCAACTTATGGTCAGGGTTTGGCATCAAATACCCCACTGTGCGGCCGTGCCGTGTCACAGACGCATTTTAAGGCGCGGTTGGCCAAGATGGACCTCAGTTCAGTTTTCACCTTCAATCTTTTTTTTTATAATTTTTTAAGGTCTCTTCCCAACTACAACAGTTTTGTTATCGGAGAAACGTTATGAATTTGCACTAGTCCTTTAAAAATAGGATGTGGCCATATGTGTTCCTGCGGAAATGACTGCAAGGGTAGATTATGTTTAAAATACTTATGAGCAACGGGAGTGCCTAAACTTAAAATATTTGAACATAAACTTGCAATAATGACTTAATAATTATTTTTAAGTACATGTAGCATTAGTTCTGAAATCCATAAAAAGTTCCTCAGATATATTGCTACTTATTCGGCGGTCCGACATTGACCCTCCCCCTCATTGATGTTCACTGGGTGCATTGGCATGGCAACGGCATTGGCGTGCAACCATTTGGTAGCACCCGATCGCCCCTCCAAGTCGCGTAAATAGTTTCTATAGGTGTTATGTCCAGTTTGATATTTACTATAAAGAGTTTTTCATTTACGCTAAATTTGATAGTTATTTATGCACTAAGGACGTTATAAGGGTTCTAATGATCTAGTGGCAACAAATATACCCTCGGGCCAAGGACCCTCGGGATTTTTGTCGTCCGATGGCATTAGAAGCAGTGAAGGTCCGTGGTATATACATGATTTTATTTTTATCTTATTTTAATTATTCGTATTTACTTATTTTCTAATTAACTAGTTGTTAACTTTACTCGGTTTGTCATTCCATATGTTTATCTCATAGTTTCCGCCGTAAGAGAAAATGTACCAACATTCATCTATTTTCATATTTCTCTTCTCTCGATCCAGATAAGTTATACAGTGAATTTCAATCTCCGTATCGAATGCAATGACAAGGAATAATGTGTAAGTAAAAAATAAACTTAATTTTTACTTGTTGATTTATGCGTATTTATTCAATCGATATATTGCATGCCTTTTGTTTCCAAAGAAAGTTGATAGAACCAAGAGGGTAGTGAATACTTGTATGTGTCAACAGCTTCTGAGGAACGGGAGTTCCATGAGCATTTGCCTTGTTGGCGCCCCTGAGCATACATGATTTGAGAAGTGGCTGCCTATCCTTCCTGTAGATGTATTGCGAGACGATCTCTTCTAAGAGAAACGTAGAAAGCGCCCTTGCGCCAATGGAGTGTCTTTTAAAATGGATCATTATAAAATGTTTGAGGAAACGCAAAAAAATTATTTTTCAAATAAATTTATCACACCTCTAATTTTGTTTTTTGTAATATTTTTCCAGATGACCAATTCATTTACGTTAGGAGAGTGTATCATCTCTCTTAAAAATATTGAAACTTAAAAGTATTTTAGTACGGAAAGATTTGTAGCCTACCATCACACCGAGGGAAATATTCTTCTGTTCCGAACTCAAGACAGTTAAAACCGATCTCAAATCAATAAAATAAACACAAATAGCTTTATATGAAGAGATGTGAAAAGTATAGTATGTTTAACTGCGCAATAAGATTTTTAAACAAAAATGAACGTCATTTTCAATAATATGGAAGCGTTGTTATCTGATCTGGGATAAACATGTTTTTTTGGAAGCGAAAGTTGGTCCATATGAAAATATATTCGAGATTTGTCTCCTCATCTTTTGATGCCGGGAGGGGAAGCATTACTAAAATACCAAATATTTTACTTTGTCGCTAGTCATTTTGGAGGTTTAAAGTTTATTTTTACATTGATTTTATTTCATAATATAGGTAAAATTTAATGTTTGTGTAAGTTAGGAAATGAAGTTTAATAGGAAACTCGACAGAGATAACAAATTATCATACAAAATTAAACTGTGGAAAGAATTAGAAAGAGAAATGGAAGTTAATGTGCATAATTTATATAAGCCAAAAATAATTAGATCAAGATATCTGTAAGTCAATACGAAATTGTTTTAGTCCAACAAGAAAAAACAAATGTAGAGGGAAAGTGCAAATGTACGCAAAACAGCGAAAACCGAAAAGGTAGAAGAAAATGAAGGAAAAATTAATTATCGCATCCTCAATAATGAGATATTTTCTCGGAGGTCTCCATGAACTAAACAAAAAATGTATTTCAAAAATGAAACTTCTCTTTCGTAATGAGTTTACTAACACTTAGGGCCAATTTCATTTGTTTTCACACGCCATGTTGTATATCATAAAAAACTTGACTAACATTAATCAATCTTAGTACACGCGAATGACCAGTTTGTCGTATCCCATCCCGCAAAAGGAACAATAAGGATAATCACGTAATACGCCTTCCCCACAGCCTGTGTAAGCAACGCAAAACCTTCGAGAAAGAAAAGGGCGGGAGGGGCAGGCGCCCGCACTGACGGCGTGGCGTCGGCGTCGGTGTCGGCGTCGCTGTGCTGCGCCTGTCGCCGCCGCCGCCGCCGCCGCCGCCGCCGCCCCCGCCGCCGTCGCGTCGACGCCAGCGCCGCCTGCCGGCACGCGCTCCATTAACCGCGACTTCATTTATCAGAAAAATAATTAACGCACAGCGCCACTTGCCGCGTTGTCTACCCCGGCGGCGGCGGCGGCGGCGGCAGCTGAGCGAAGGCGGTGACAACGGCTTGAGGAAGCGGGCCCAGAACACGCGCCAGCCCCTTCCGCCTCTGCCCCCGCCCCAAGCTTTGGCGCACCACCCCCGCCGCTCCGCCGGCCATTGCCACGCCTCCGTTTGGAGTATTCCGTGAGTCACCGTAACCTACTCCGACAGTTCAGTTTGTTTCTGTAGCAATGTAGTCTTAGATGCCCTTTTCTATCCCTTACTTCATCTCGATAGTCTGTTTGATGGCAGTTGCTTGGAAAGGAAGAACATTTGTATTTAATGCAATATACTAACAGTCTGCGTTGAACGCACTCATTACCAATTTGTTCGTATAAAAAGTGTTTGTATCATTTTGTTTTCACTGACAATGACGTTCATTTTCTAAATGTAAATTCTTTATATTATTTCTGAAGAAACTCTTACCCAAGTGTAAAATAATTTCCCAATTGTCAGGTTAAAAATGGGAAAATTAAAGATTTACGTTAATAAAGAAATAAAATCTTTTCTTAAGACTGCGGGCACCTTTCTTCGTTTTCAGGGAGGCCAAGGCCCGCTGGTCTCACTGGGTACGCTTATGTTTCTTTAGAAAATTTGCTTACTCGCTGGCCCGAGTCTCGCCACGTAAAATAAGGCATCAATTCAATTGAATAATCTAGTTATATATCCTAGAGGGAATATTTGTGGTGAGGTATTTCTTTTTCAAAATTAATTAGCAATTCACTTTGAAAATTATAAAAACTCACTTAAAAACGTAAATGAATATTGTTTCAGATGTGTGTTTTATATTGTTGGTGAAGTTTTCGTTCATACCCTTCTATACAAAACTTAATAAAAAGTTCTCGTAATATTAGCACCCATTTCACGATTGTTAATTTTTTCCTGGAACTGTGAATTTTTTCTTGATATCGAAGTTCACAGTTATTGAAGATAAAAGTAGTATTACGAAAGGGATAACGTTGAAAACTTAAAACTAAACCATTTTTAAGAGATACGAAATAAACTTAACGGTTTTCAATTATTGAAAATGGATGCGGTCGATGATAATTAATATTTATCTCTTTACATTTTTTTACATAAATGAAACTAATCGTAATAAATTGAGAACGATGTGAAGAAAATGGTATAGGTGACAAAAAGGAAGTTATTAAAAAAAAGCTTTCCAAATTTGTTTATTCTTAAGTACACACTATTTTATCTTCAATTCGTGATTATTTGAACTAAACGTGACAGTTTGGCTCTTTGCACATTATTAGCTTTGTAATATAGAACGTTTTTCGGTAAAATCATTCAATGCAAAGACCGTGGCCATGATCATCCTCGCTGCCTAATCCTTCGCTTGAGCAGAGGTGGATTTACGCATAGGCACAGTAGGCACGTGCCTACGACGGCAAATTTTCAAGGGCGGCATTTTTTAAAAGGCGCAAAATTTTCTTGAGATTTTCTAAAACATAGGTTTTAGGTTCTCTAAAAACTATAACAGCATAAATCATATTTTTTTAAAAAAAATATATTAATATTTAGTACAAGCTCTTTATTTGTCTCCTTCATTCGAGTATACCTTAAGATTTCAGAAGTATATGAATCTGAAACTAACGCCCGTTGACGAAAGAAAACATGTTGCAATTCTAGTTGTCATGTTTTAGTTTCCTTTTAATGTTAAGTGTTGTTCCTTTTAATGTAACGTTTCAGTGTTGAAACGTTAATAATGTTGAACGTTACTAGCTATAAGGATAGAGTTTATATCCAAAATTAGCTAATCCAAAAAAATTATTTAATTTATGAAAACAATGTGAAAAATATAATGTTACTTTTAAAGTTAAAACGTTTAAATTAATGAGGGATTGTTACTGAAACGTTAGAATTTGAAATGTAACATTAATTTTAAACAGGGGTCGGCAAATTTGATGTGCCTACAGGCGGCAAAAATATTAATCCGCCCCTGCGCTTGAGGACAGCGAGCTGAATCCATTCCCTCCAGTTCCTCCCAATTACTGTCCTCGCCTTCCTCCGCACTCTTTGCCTCCTCGCGAATCCTCACTATCCTCACTCTCCACGCTGCCTTTTTTCACACTCACCCCCACACCACCTTCATCGCCCACGTCGAGGTCCTCATAACTCGACTGCCTCCGCCGTCCGGGTAACCCCCGGCGTGTGAGAGGGCGGCGCGAGGTAGGGCGGGGCCAGCAGCTTGACCCCGAGGGAGGGCGGGCGGCCGCAGCTAATCAATATCCCATAATTAATTTACACAGCGGCTTTCTTAATGTGACTGCTGCGGCAAGCTCCGCGCCAGCTTTGCCAGCTCCTTCCACACTCTCTCTCTATCTCTTTCCCTCCCTCCCTATCTCTTTTCCCTCTCGCGCGCACGCCCGTGAACCCCCCCCCTCCCTCCTGCACAACCTTCCAACGCCGACCCCCTCCCTCCCCCCTCGGCATGATCAATGGGGGTGGTCCGACGGAATTAGTCCTCCCACTCTTTCAAAGGGCTAACTTCTCTCTACAGCCGCCGAGGTTGGTCTTTTTTATGTACACGCGCGGGCGCACTTCAATCAATACAAGTGATAAATTACTTTCGGCCTCAAGACCATTATAAGTTAAAAGCTATACGCAAACCAATAGACGCCGCCGTGTTTTGAATACTCCCAAGGCGCGTAATTACGTTGCATTCGAATGGCCAGATGAAAAAGTCAAATTATTCATAATGGAAGCCGCTAACACAAAGTGTCAATAACGGATGGCAGTTAGCGTTATACTTCGTAACACCACAAAAAGAACTTTTCTGTAAGCTGCTCGTGGATGTTTTTATATTATAGAGACTGCTATTTCTAAGGATCGCCAAATGAGATGGACACTTTTCTCTCTTTTATGTGAAATGTCGAGACCAGATAGAAATTCAGATGAAGGTAGAACTTTCATCAAACCTAACATTATTTACATGCCTTTCTGGAACAAGTTATATGCAAAATATTTAGCCAATATGAATTTTGAATTACTTTTCTTGTTTTAGAGTGAATTTTCAATCTATAAAATAGATTGTCCATTCACACTTTTATAAAGTTTGCTTTCCAACTACTCAGTCATGTAGCCGTCGCTGTAATGTTTTTCTTTTGGTAAAGGTAGGGGCACACATATTAGAAACGCACACAAACATCCATGCCTGGAGAGGGATTCGAACCTGCGACTCTCTAAGTCAAGGCTACTATGGCCCTTCAGCCTTAACGATTTCGGCTAGCCAGACCGACCTTCGGTATATTACTTTACAAAAAAATTGAAACTATAAAACCAAAGAATGTAAGGACTATTTGATGTGACGACGAACAAATTTGTTTATGATAATATACTTGAAAATATGGTTACTTAATATTGTAGTGTTTTCGCGAAATTTTGAGTAAAAAACAAGCAATTTTTACACAATTTCCTTTCTTTAAAAATGACTCCAAAAGCATCTTCAGTCTATACAGGCTTAGGTGGCTCAAGACACAAATTGATGTCACTACAGTGCATGTGACCGAGTCATAAGGTTGGTGGAAGGATTTTCGACAACAGCTAGATGGTTATGTTGCATTAATCCACTGACTGGAGGAGAATTATAGCGGTCTGCTGTTCTGATGGGTTGTTTCGGCGTTTTTTCGACCAACCCCAGCGGAATGCCGGGAGTGTACCGAAACGAAAGAGATACGGACCGCGCGATGATTCCTTCCTCTTCATTGTGCTATCCTCACTCCTCACTTAACACATTTACTTGCCCTGCTCTACCATCTATGTCGGGAGCTAATAGCTTGGCTTGGCTGAGGCAGTGCCTCGCTGGTGGGAGATACGTGGTTGGGGAAATTACCGCTAGTCGACATGTAGGTCGGCGCGGAAAAGCGTTTGATTGCCAGCTCACGCAATAAAATTATGCACTACACATACGGGACTAACGACCTCCGTAGTTGATGCGCCTGGTAAAACTAATTTAGTCAAAACGAGCTATTAATAAAAAATGTATGAGATCTCTGTATAAAATGTATTAGATCGATACAGAAACTGAAAATTGCATTTCTCCGGAAATGTGCTAACAATGCCAACCTCCTGGAATGTCGTTACTCATACGTCATCAGTATTCAACAGCCAATTAAATGAGGAATGGCATTGTAACCTGTCAATGTAGCCAATCTCTGTACGAAGGGAAAAATCAACGCACGTTCCTTGACGAATCGTCAAAGATGACAAAGCTACAATAGTGCCAATTCTGCCACAAACGTGTTAGTGAAAAGTAAAGAGGCATCAATAATTTGACGTTTGTGAAAAATACGATCGTTAAGTAGATTTTGCGAATCTTAATGAAATCGGCTGAAAGAGTGTTAGATAGAATGCAATTAAAGGCATTCTTGGCTACCAGGGATGAGCCGCGTCCCGGTCAATTGTACTGACGTTTCGGCCATCTTGCTGTGGCCTTCTTCAGAGTTATACTGCTCAGCAGTATTATTTACAACAAATTACTTTGCTCGGCAGTATAGCTCTGAAGAAGGCCACAGCAAGATGGCCGAAACGTCAGTACAATTGACCGAGACGCGGCTCATCCCGGGTAGCCAAGAATCCATTGACTCGGGCCGCGGAAGCCTACGAACCTAGAATGCAATTAAAAACAAAAAATCATAGCGGAGAGTAAAGCCAAAACGTAATGGTCGAGAACGTCGGTTCGCGGCTTCAATCCTGGGAGGGGCCGCAAACTTGCTATCAATGGTTTACAGAACCGATTTTGTGGTGCGTGCCGAAATCAAATTCTGATAATCGAATCGTAGGCACTGGTCTTGTCACTGATTTCTGAGGTCTCCCGGATCTCTGACAGGTGAAAGCCAGAACAGCACACTACACAACGGGCCACGGTTCTACCTCGGTTTTCCCTTTCCATCTCGTCTTCCTCAATCCGTATATAGAGGAGTAC